CACGATTATAACAGCATTTCGTGCGACCTCTTTTTCTTGGTTTTGTGTTCCGTTCCATTGACAGCATTTCGTGTGATCACTTTTTTGTTTTGTGTCCCATTCCATTGACTGGCTGACACGTTCCCATTGCTTGATTGTACTTGTGTATGTCGAGACACTGTACTGATAAGCAAACTTGGTGTGCGTCAATGATAGGAACCTCTCAACTTTGGTGCCCGTCCTTTAAAGGAGTTCCACGTTGGGTCTTTAAAATACCCGTTCCAGAAATGTCGACGTGAAGTTATTCTTGTCAGTTACAGCTAGAGCGTTTCCATTGTTGTGTCTTGGTGACTACACGGCACTTGTACTCCACGTCAAACGTGTTCCAGCCCCGAGCGAACATAGTCGAGACAACACAAATGCAATGCGCTGTCGGCAATTAGTCTACTAATGTTTCCTTGTGATGTACAGGGTTGGGAGCGTGATCGCGATATGATGCACCCAGCTGTGTGGTTAGAGCAGCATGATCTTGCTAGAAGATTATGGCATTTTGGGCGAAAAACATGGCCAAAATATCGCTACATGCCATTTGCTCCCCATCCCTTCCTCTCCCCTGGCTGCCGTGCACATTTTGTACACTTCAAGAAAGTCTTATGAACGTGAATACTCGTACATTGTAAGTGCTGGATCCTGCCTAATCACGGCTACATGTCTAGGACTAATTAGTACGAATAGACGTCATAATAATGCCATCCCGCCGGCACATCATCTCTGTCCCTATACAAGTAGATGGCCCCGCCCTGTACCTTCTCCAACAACTCATTGTGTGCTAAAGGTTCCAACTTTTCAACTGCTTCACCACTTGGTCGCTGTATCAGGACATCATTGGTATTCAACGACGGGAGGATGTCCATGTTCCAATTTTTGAATTCGATAGTCAAGGATTCAAACATGAATCAGCAGATATAATCAATTATCAAGTAGTGATAGGAGTACATTTAATTGTGAGAGGAATGTTGATTTGCGTGATTTGCGCGAGGAATAATGACTGGTATGCGGAGTAGCAGATAGTTTAGAGCAAATAATAATAATTATTATTATAGTTTTTGACAAACTGGCCCATGGCATAAAGGCAGTTCTTTGTGAAACTGACTGAAATTCTCTACAGTTAATTACGTTCATCCTGAGAATTGAAGAAACCGAAGCAAGGATGAATCACGCCTCACAGCGGAGATGAATTCCTCGAAGTCCACCACTCCATCGCAATTCGTGTCCATGTTTGCGAACACATCGTCGACTTCATCGTCAGAGGCGCATGGAGAAGGCAACGCGAGCGTTGCCCAGCTGTTTTGTTGACCACTAGCGCTAGCCATGCTTGCAGAAGATTCATCACTGATGGCGGACGGTGATTGGCGGGCCTCCTCGCTCGTGATGGAGAACTGAGATGCGGAGCCAACTGACGCGTTGAAGCTGGGTGACATGTCGTACAGAGATGGGAATCGACCGTTGCTCGACCGCTTCGCAGTGGCCGCTGGGGAAGATGGTGTCAGCGGGGCTAGGCGACTTCGGCGCCTGTCCATGGTGTTAGTCCTCAAGATCATCTCTTCCGCCTGGTTGGGACTCTCAATGCTGCTTCCCCGGCGGTGCAGAGGAGGTGTGGCTGACAGCGGTGGTCTACAGCGAGTTGCGTCGGGAAGCGATGCTAATGACTCTGCCTGCATGTTTGATAGTCGCTGTGTGGTTGTTGGAAACGTTGCAACGCTATTTGACTTGGTGGATGTAACTGATGGCATGCTGTTGCTGCTGCTGCCGATCTCCATTAGGGTTGCTCGTCGGACTGCAAGACTCATCTGTGACTGCTTGCGCTGCGCAGCTCTGATCTGTTCGGGACTACCGTTCACCTTCATGGTAGCAAGGCATCCGCAGCTGGAAGATCGGGACATTCCCGATGCAGAACCTCCACCGATGACTGGGCCTAAGACCTGTGACCGTCGGCTGGGATGCGCCAACAGTCCCAGGGCGAGCTGAATATCCGTGTACTCCTGACGAGAGATAACGCCATCGCCGTTGATGTCGAAGACACCGAATGCGAAGCGGATTTTCTGCAGTTCGTTTCCTCTTTGAGTCATTGCGAGAGTGTGGAGATATTGCTGAAAGTCAATGTAATCTCTGCCTTGCCTGTCTATGGCGTTGAAGATGTGATCGGCGATCTGCGAGGAATCGGAGAACTGAAAGAAACTTGCATACGCTTCCACGAATTGCCTCCGGCTAATGGTGCCGGATCGGTGGTCCTTAAAGAACTCCTTCTTCAGCTGCTTGACTTCGTGGCTGCTGAACACACACTCCACAACACTGTGGTTGTCCGAGGGTGAAGTTATATCCACAGCAGGGCTGCCAGACGATGACTTTCTACTCTGTCCCGAACCCATTTCACCAATCAATTAGATTACCTGGGGAAGAAATGAACTATTCTGAAGGTTTTCGATGTGGAGAGTTGATTTGTTACTGACAGGAGCATAGGAAGTGGACATCTTTTATACTGCCTAACGCGGATATCTTCTGAACGGTGCATTACTTTGTCCACACGGACAGTCGCGAAAGGTTAGCTGCTGATCTAGTTGACCTCGACCTGTGACATGACGCTGAAACTAGACATTCACCCGATCCCAGTCCGGGGCCAGTGCGGTGGTCTCAAACAAGCGATCACGTGCCCATTGCCCAACCAGGAAATGTGAGCTCGCCTGAATAACGGCCAGACACTCCTCCTCACCAGTCCATCAAAACACAGTCTCGATGAAATAACGAGATGAAACCGTCCACGAGGCGAACGCGTGCTGTTTGGCTTGCCAACAATAACCATATGCGCTTTCTCGTTAGTTATCCCCCGCACTTGCAGTCTCATCCCTACCTTCCACTACGTCCTGATTAATCTCCGGGATTTGTGGAGCTCCCATTATAAACCTTGGTCATACTTCAAAGTAGGTACTGAGCGCATCTTGACTCAGCACGACATGGACACGTGAAGTTGCCACCCTATAGCAAATGGCTAGGCTGCAGCGGAACTGTATTGTTGAGTTGTGCATAATACATGTACATGTATGTATGTGTGTACATGTACGTAACCAGGGCACATGTACAGCCGAGTACTTAGTATCAGTATTCTAATCACGCACTAAACGACGTGAACAGAACATACAACGAAAACAGTTCCGTCCTCAGATTGAGTATCCGTACATGGTTCTGGAGTAGTCTGCACCCCCTGGCGTTCAGGCATTCCCTCCACAGGAGAGGATAGCCATTTGTGGATCGCCAAGCACGCACTTCACAGGCGAGTGTTTCTTGGAGGTGTGTCAGCTACACGGAGGATGTCGACCACTTACCATAACGGCTGGAGCGTAGGAATGGATGGTGGGATGATGAGACTGCATGATGTCAGCATGATCCACGCAGCTAGTATTAGTATTACAATGTATGTGCACGCACTAAGAATCGCTGTGTGCGCTATCCCGCGAATTTTATTACTAATAAATACGCGGTAACCTCTGTTCTGAGACACGATACCTACAAAAAGATATACAATCATGTACTAGTACTAGTAGTAGTAGGTAGCAGCTAGGTATGTTCAGTAAAATGAAATTGCCAAATTGGAAGTAAAGCTATTGAGTTGCACCCAGAATCTGGTCTAATATAGCAAAAGTAACAACAATAATAAGTATGACTTCCATAGCATGTTCTGTATTGTGCTACCTCCTATCGTCGTTTTGCCCTCCAGGATCCCTTCATTTTGGCCTTTAGATTCTCAACTGGAAAGTTAATAAATAGTGCGATGCTCCGCAACGGGAGGAACTCGGGTCGCTCGCACAACCACTGTCAACCAGCACAAATATTATTGTCGGATACTTTGCCTCAAAAGCTGTGTGTTGTAGACCTTGTGGGACGACATCCGCCAGACGTCGCTGGTTAGTTTGCACGCGTCGAATACCGGTGCGTGTGTAGCGCGTGCATTGTCCGCCTGAGCACCACTTCAGGAGAGAGCCATGGACAAAGCGGCTTACAAACGGTTTGTGGCACAAGCATGTTAATTTTCATGTATGAGCTGGAGTAGTAACGTCGACAATGGCTACTTTTTAAAGGCTTCAACATCCAAACTAACTTCGGCCATGAGCAACATGTATGCGGCGTGCAAGGGTCGAACACTCGCAGACCTCCACGCTCTCAGTCAAACACACCATTAATATATAATTTCGCCTTTCGCCCAGCTCTCCTCGTCATACAGATCAATGGACGATGTGTGCACGAGATCCTCCATGTTTACCCTTTGACGAAATGTGTAGTGCCATACAGGTGCGTCCAACAATGGTGTCCTGTCTTTCAGGTAACATAGTCGTTGAACTTTAGAGGTCAAGCAACGCTGTGAAATATGTCGCGGACTGCCGAACTAAGCCGGAAATGGCAGCCATTTCTTAGTCTACCCTGGACACCCGTGTCAGCTCGCATTCCTCTTTGCTCTCTTTAATAACGGCGCTACAAAGCTCGCTGTATATCTCGCAGAGAACTCTGACTTCGATGCTTGGAGCCGATCACAATATCTTGTAGTGTTTCGCATTGCGATCGGTTCGACCAGTAACTCTGAGTTCAGTTGATTTTTTTTGATGAGACCCAACAAAGTCGACACAGTTAGCTGTCCTGAGATTGAGCAAACCGTGATGCTACATGACTGTAGAGACGGTTGAGTGTGGTTCCATTACGCTGTTGCCAGCAGTGATCCAGTGGCACTAGTGAACGCAGACATTGTGTCGTTAGTCGATTTCCGGTTGGACTGGAATACCGTACAGCTGTATTTCGTCTGTTGGGTGTGCTATTTGGTTGTTGCAAGACAAACCAAAGCCTTTCCTGTCATGGTTTTCCAATTCGCTTCTCACGCATTAATAAGCTATCGCTCTCCCAATTTCTATCTATAGAATACTTGCTTATGGTTGATTAATATGGTGGTAAAGACACACCTGGCAATATGGCGGTAAACACACGCCTGCCCACATACGCTCTCTAGAGAGCTCTAGGCTGCAAAGTTCTGGCACAGAGCTCTTCTTCTCACCACCACCACCACCATCAGTTAGCGCCTGGCGCCTGGTCGATGCATGGCTGGCGGTATCCGGCATAGCAGGCTGGTACATCAAGTAGCGCATGGCACATGAATGATGACACAGCAACGACATAGCTCGATTGCGACGTACGTTTCGGCCCCGCTGGACTCATCAGGCAATCTTCTTCTTGGAAGTCTTCATACGGAGCTTGACTCGGGAGAATGAAGTTGAAGACACCACTGCAGCTGTACTTATGGTTGATAAATAATATTATGGTGGTAAAGACACACCTGGCAATATGGCGGTAAACACACGCCTGCCCACACACGCTCTCTAGGCTGCAAAGTTCTGGCACAGAGCTCTCCTTCTCACCACCACCACCATCAGTTCGCGCCTGGCGCCTGGTCGATGCATGGCTAGCGGTATCCGGCATAGCAGGCTGGTACATCAAGTAGCGCATGGCACATAGATGATGACACAGCAACGACATAGCTCGATTGCGACGTACGTTTCGTCCCCGCTGGACTCATCAGGCAATCTTCTTCTTGGATGTCTTCATACGGCTGCAGTGGTGTCTTCAACTTCATTCTCCCGAGTCAAGCTCCGTATGAAGACATCCAAGAAGAAGATTGCCTGATGAGTCCAGCGGGGACGAAACGTACGTCGCAATCGAGCTATGTCGTTGCTGTGTCATCATCTATGTGCCATGCGCTACTTGATGTACCAGCCTGCTATGCCGGATACCGCTAGCCATGCATCGACCAGGCGCCAGGCGCGAACTGATGGTGGTGGTGGTGAGAAGGAGAGCACTGTGCCAGAACTTTGCAGCCTAGAGAGCGTGTGTGGGCAGGCGTGTGTTTACCGCCATATTGCCAGGTGTGTCTTTACCGTGACCATATTTATCAACCATAAGTACAGCTGCAGTGGTGTCTTCAACTTCATTCTCCAGAATGCTTGCTGGTAGTAGAATCAACAGTTCGCGCCACTTCTCCTTGGAGACTCAATATCAGCACGTATGCCGGTATTTGCAAACAGTATTGCTGGTTTAATGCCACTATCTTCGTTTCTCTGTCTGTCCCTGTATCCCTTCTCTCTCTCTCTCTCTCTCTCTCTCTCTCTCTCTCTCTCTCTCTCTCTCTCTCTCTCTCTCTCTCTCTCTCTCTCTCTCTCTCTCTCTCTCTCTCTCTCTCTCTCTCTCTCTCTCTCTCTCTCTCTCTCTCTCTCTCTCTCTCTCTCTCTCTCTCTCTCTCTTTCTCTATCTATCTATCTATCTCTCTATCTCTCTATCTATCTATCTATCTCTATCTCTATCCTTGTTGAGCACTCTCAGTAGGCTGCTCTAGTGCTGCTGCATCGCGCAATGCCCGCTACTTTTTGTAGTTTGAGCACTCTGGCGCTAGAGCGACGAGCTACCTTAATGTCTGTGGTGCCTCCTTTGCACCATGGCTGGTAGCTCGGCCTATTTAGCTCGTAGCTGTACTGATGAGGCCTTTATGGCCGAAACAGCTTGCTGTCTACAGCATTGGGTATCACGCTCCTCGGCTTTCGCCTTGTTGAGCACTCTCAGTAGGCTGCTCTAGCGCTGCTGCATCGCGCAATGCCCGCTACTTTTTGTAGTTTGAGCACTCTGGCGCTAGAGCGACGAGCTACCTTAATGTCTGTGGTGCCTCCTTTGCACCATGGCTGGTAGCTCGGCCTATTTAGCTCGTAGCTGTACTGATGAGGCCTTTATGGCCGAAACAGCTTGCTGTCTACAGCATTGGGTATCTCTATCTATATATCTATCTATCTCAATCTGCGGACAGAACTGTTTCGTCCTTTGTGGACTCGTCAGCGCAGCACAGAGGAAATGAGGCCGAACCTGATAGCAATGGAAATAAAATTTCCAATCAGGCCCGAACGTACCTTGCCAGAGTGCTCAAACTGACAAGTCAGTGAGCTCTGCATAGCGCAAACAGCAAAGGCACTACCCCACGCAAGAGTGCTCAACTGCTACAAGAGCAGGAGCGAAATACTCAATCTGCGGACAGAACTGTTTCGTCCTTTGTGGACTCTATCTCTCTATCTCTGTATCTATCTATCTATCTATCTATCTATCTATCTATCTATCTATCTATCTATCTATCTATCTATCTATCTATCTATCTATCTATCTATCTATCTCTATCTATCTATCTACTCAATCTGCGGACAGAACTGTTTCGTCCTTTGTGGACTCGTCAGCGCAGCACAGAGGAAATGAGGCCGAACCTGATAGCAATGGAAATAAAAATTTCCAATCAGGCCCGAACGTACCTTGCCAGAGTGGTCAAACTGACAAGTCAGTGAGCTCTGCATCTATCTATCTATATATCTGTCCGCGAAATACTCAATCTGCGGACAGAACTGTTTTGTCCTTTGTGGACTCTATCTCTGTATCTATCTATCTATCTATCTA